GGAGGCCTTCAACGAGATGGATTGACATGGTGGCTGCAATGATGGGCTCAAGTATAGCAGGGATTGTGGGGCTGGTGCGGGATCGGGCAGTGCTTCATTCTGCTGTGCATGGCGTTGCTATGAGTCGGAAACGACTTCGACGGCACTTAACAACAACAATAACAACATTTGTATGGCAAAGTTCTTTTGTGAACATTACTTCACTGGATTCTCACAACAACTCTGTATGGATGAATAGCTAGATATTACTACTCTTCCTATTTTATTGATAAAGAAGCTGAATTTCAGTGATATTAAGTAATTTGTTCAAAGTTTTCTGATGGAGCTATGGCTCAAACTCAGCCTGATACTGTATCTTAAATTAACATTCTTCTTCCAACTTACATCATGTCACTGGACCGAGACAGTATTATTACTGACATAAAAGATTTAACATGTGTTAAAAATCTTACCTTCAGTAACTAGTAGCTCATCTTGAAATGCTTCAGTAAAGTTAATGTTTTGCAAGAGACTATGTTCTGGCAGTATCTGTTCTATAATTCCTGGTTTATGCAACAGGGTTCTGCCAGGAAAGATTTAATTAAAAACTGATTTTGCACATAAAATGTCCTTAATTAAGTTTTCATTAATGTATGTGGCAGCTCCTATTAACAACATGACACATTAGTAATAGAGTTTATGTCTTAAGTCCTAGTAAAAGTTTGTTTCAAAAGTTCCCTTACAAGGATATACATGTCAGAAAATTATCATAGTTTTAGTTAAATATAAACATCAAAATAAGAATCCTCTACTATAAGAGTAGAAAGAAGAGTAGGGTGAGATTCTTTTCAGTTCTTCCATTTTTATTACTTGTGATAATTTGGTCCTAGCTAGAACTTTGTCTCAGAAAAAAAAATATGCTACGAAAATTATATAAATAAGTTATCAGAGGGAAATGTTTAATTTACCATATAACTATGTTTATATAGCTTCTTACAGGGAATCTTTGGGGTAACAGAACTGAAATGGAGATTTCTCTATAACATTCATATGGGACAAAGAAAATCTCAATGTTGTAAAATGTATGGCAAACAGAAGTTCTAAAATAATACAATGATTTCTGTGATGCAATAGAGAAAGGAAAAAAAGAAAAAAGGTGAAATAAAAACCTGATAATCTGATGTCTCCAAGTATCAGTTTCCATTTCTAAAGTACTTAATTAGAAAATGAAACTAGTTTAAAAGTTAACATCTTTACATTTCTGTTCTAACATCAGGTAGCAAACTTACTGAACTCCCTTCTCTTTAAACATTCCAATGATCCTCAACAGATTTAATAATAAAAAAAAAAAAAAAAAAAAAAAAAAAGGGACAATTTCCCAACTTATGTACCAGAATACAAGAAGCAGAGCACAAAGGGTTAGAACTGAAGACTGGTATATGTATATACCCTCACTATTGGGAGTTAATGATTTCTCATTAACAGATGAAACTTTCTGAGTTTTATTTATTAAATTCAGGTGCCCTAAGGCCAGGAAACAGTATTTTATAATTAAAGAATACAGAACTCCACACACTAGGATTTTACGTACATTTAAATCTCACCTAGACCTAAATCAATATTCTAAATTTATCAACATTTCAGAATATTAAGCTATATTTAAAGCAGATTATCAAATTTTCTTAAAAAAAAAAAAAAAATGCTTTAAATACCCTAAATATTCTACATATTTCTAAAAGTAAAACTCAACTTGTTCAAATAATTCATTGCATTTCCAGAAATAGCCCAAATTAGTCAGGTCTTATACAATATACTATTTCAGTAGTTTTTAAATCTTCTCTGAAATTGACCTATTGTCACTCAATATAGCCTCTAGAGTACATTAGAAAAACGGTCCTGTTCTGAAGTATGATGCTCCTGTTGAGCAAAAGAAAAGACAACAACACATATGCTTGGAGAAGAGAGTGCACTACAAGGAAAAAGAGAAGCTGAGTTTTCTACAGGTATATGTTCCTCACATTATGATAGCTTACCAGCCAAAAAACTTTACCAAGATTTTTAACCTACTAGTTTACTAATAAATAGTGGAATATACTCTATAAATTCAAAATCCCAAACCATTTAAGCCTTCATTATTTCTACTAATAAAATATTTCACAATATTCTCAAAGATAAGTAACCTACCTTCGATACTGTTGTCTTGAAATTTCATCACCACATAAGAAGTATATAGTTGATAGTTCTGTTGCAGTTTTATAACTGCTCTCTCTGTCTGACGGATTATATATTACAGTAACATGCTAATTCAAGAAAAAAAATCCATGAGTTAATTTAAAAGTTTTTTTTCTTGAATAAGTAATTTCATTCTGAATAAAATACCTTATGTGCCTAAACATTCAACATAGATGTGAATGCATGTTATTTCCAAGGGGATTAGCAAATAAACAAGCAATTCTACTCCTACATAACTTTCAAATATTACTACCTTAGTTTTCGGCCAGAAAATAGGAATTAACTTAATCTAAACATGAGTTCATATTTTTAGTGAAGAGACTTTTATGCTTACTTCTTGTGTTCTTTCCTTGAGCACAAATTTATCTGGAAAAATCCGCATCACTTTAGGATCCAGCAAAACTTTTGTCTGAGAATTCTTAAAACACACTGCTTTAACAAACGCTGCTCTTGAGCCAGTGTTCCGAACAGAAAAAACAATTTGACTTTCCTTACCAGGAATTAATTCATTCATTGTAACCATGTAACTGTCAGATAATTTTTTAACATCTTCCAAAATAAGATTACTTGTTCCTCCATATCCAGATAAAGGTATCTAAAAGCATAGAATATACATATCCAAAATTATCCTTATGTAAATAGAAAGCAGAGAACTGTTAGTTAGAGAAGAAAATACATACAGATTTAATAAAATGAAAAATTTACTATTTCGGTACCACTTTCAGAGCAGCATTATATCAAAGATTATGTTGTAAGGGAAAACAAATCAAAGAGCTGCAAATGATTTACCTTTAAATATGCTAAGCATAATTATTTCATTGTTCTAACAGCCAAGCTTAGATGATAAAGGAATAATAAAAAAAATATAGATATGCTTGTTTAAGAAGTACTTAAAGAAAAACATACTGATACTTGTAATGTGCTTTGGAATACATAAAGAAATAGTGAAATTGATGGATAAATGGTCAGATATGTAATAAAGAAATGTTGCTGCTAGCTGCTGTTGAGTCAATGTCAACTCATAGTGACTCTGTGACAGAACAGAACTGCCCCATAGGCTTTACTTGGCTGTAATCTATAGGAGCAGATCACCAGTTCCCTCCCTCATGGAACTATTGGGTGGGTTTGAATCATAATATAGTAAAATGTTAACTGTAGAATCCAAGTACTAGGGTATATAGGTATTCACTGCATAATTCTTTCAACTTCTCAGTAAGTGCGAAATTTTTCATATACATTGTTTTTTTGGAAAAAAAAGGCTATTATAATACATTCCTCCTACCCACTAGCCACTCCTCGGAAGGAATATAAGGCAATCTACTTCTGTAGTGATACTGCCTCAAAAACCCAAGGAGGAGTCGCTATGAGTTTAGTCCAACTCGACGGCACATAACAACAACAACAACAACTTTGGGTCTAGTCAGTATCAGAGAGAAGCATGCTCAGGGGCCAAATTAAGGATGAGAATTCAAGCAACTATCGGAGGACAGACCCACTGGTAATAAGTGGAAGCAACAGACTAGAACCAGGTTTTAAGATTCATTCTGTAATGCTGTCCACTGAACACTTCTGTTTCAACAGGGCTCATCACTATTATGAAAAAAGTATTCACAGAATAAAGTTCATAAATAAGAATGCAAAGAAAACATTTATCCAGCTAAAAAATAAACTTCCATACCCTTTAAAATATAATCACTTATTCCTAATTATTAAAGTAAGTTCCAAAGAATTCCTTGCAAACCTAAAAACATCAATAGCTTATTTTGAGTTATGTATTTAATCAAAATAGCATTTTGAAAATTAAATTTAGGCTCCTCATCATTTCTATTAGCTTTCCCTTTAGTACAGGGAGCTCTGGTGGCATAGTGTCTAAGGCATCTGACTGCTAACCAAAAGGCTGGTGGTTCAAACCCACCAGCCACTCTCTGGAAGGAAGGTTGGGCAATCTACTTCCATAGTGATACTGCCTCAGAAACCCAAGGAAGGGTCTCTATGAGTCGGACCTGACTCAGTGGCAGTGGTTTTTCCCTTTAGTACGAATTAAAAGCATTGTAATGTTCTTCAGATCTGAACATCCTACAAATCCCACATCATTCAAAACAAGCTCTGGTAATTTCAAGAAGACAAAAACGTTTCTAGATGTTCTTTTCCACTGCAATTTGCAAGTAAATTTTGTGTACGAAAGTAAATAGAAAATGATAACAGGAAAAAGTTAGCTTTGAAAACAATGTAAGTATTATTCCTGTATTTTCAAAGCCTAAGGAATCACAAATTACTATTGAATAAAAGGTTAAGAAGAAAAATTATTTATGTGAAATGAAATCTTATTAATGCCAATAAATTGATAGATTGAACCAGAAAACCTAGGGGTAGTAGGGGTAGTCCTGTGTATTATAGGATGTTAAGCAGCATCCTTGGCCTCTACACATTACATGCAAGTAGCACCTTTGTCCTATCTCCAGTTATGACAACCAAAATGTCACCACATTGCCGAATGTCCCCTCGGGGACAAAATAGGCTTTGGTTGAAAACCACTGCTTCAGGGGATGACAAAATACAGAGCTAATATTAACACCTTGAAGACTGCACAATAGATAAATGTGGGCTCTGCATTACAAAAGCCTGAATGTGAACCCAGTCTCTGTATACACTCACTGGTAGGTGAGATACATGGTCCTGGGCACGCATCACCTCCTTGGGTTTCCGAGGCAATATCACTATGGAAGTAGATTTCCCAACCTTCCTTTCAGAGAGTGGCTGGTAGGTTTGAACCACCAGCCTTCTGGTTAGCAGTCAGATGCCTTAGGCACTATGCCACCAGAGCTCCCTGTACTAAAGGGAAAGCTAATAGAAATGATGAGGAGCCTAAATTTAATTCTCAAAATGCAATTTTGATTAAATACATAACTCATAATAAGTTATTGATGTTTTCAGGTTTGCAGAGAATTCTTTGGAACTTATTTTATTCACACACTACAACGTGTGTAAAATTTATCTCAAAGGACTGTTTTAAAGATAAATATGATAATGTATGTAATGATTAGGGTAATGCCTTACATATATTCAATAAAAACATTTTTATTGCTTTCACCTCATGCTTTATTACGGTATACAAAACACAAATAATCTCATTTGTTCCATCAAGCCAAACTGGGTTGGTGGCAAATAGCTGTATTTTACTGTGGTGTAGTAAATTACATAGTGTGGCTTTTCTAGCCATAAGTCTCTGTAAACTCCAAGGTGGAATTTGCCACTAGCAACTGAGTAGCTCCTGATTGTTAAAGTTACCCACCAGGGTATTTCTGTTGGGAGCAGCACAAAATAATTTTCTGGGAAGTTCACTCTCTCAGGTGTATGGAATTCTGATTTTGGGATTGGTCAGTTTGGCCACTCTGCCATGGCTCAAAAGGAGCCCTCCTAGAGGCAGAAGGAATGTGTCAGCTGAAAGATGTTGAAAGACAAGCACTGCTGAGAAGACACAAGAGACACACACTGCTGAGAGGGATACCTAGAGACACTGCTGAGAGAGACTGTTGGCTGAGAGAAAAAGGGCTGAGAGAGATTGAGCATGTTCCTGAACTTGGATTGTGGCCTGGTGCTTCCCTGAAAAATCCCATAATCTGTGAGTTGTGTGTGCCCACTGCAGTGAATTATCGAACCCAGCAGAGAGGTGGTGGGTGCCGCAGGAGGAAAGGCTGGTGTCAGGGCTGGAGAGAATTAGCATGTCTGGCCTTGCAGGAATAGGACTTGAGCTACTGATGGTGATTCTGTCTTCCTCTGGTGGGGTTAGCAGAAGTCAGAAAATGCGACTTCCCTGCCCCTTTAGCATTTACCAGTAAGAAAAGGGAGGCACAAACAAATGAAGTAGTTTATTCTAAGACTTTTGTAAGTAAAAAGAACAGGCCTGGCTCCCAGGTTTTCTTAATCTTAGAGTTAAGTGCTCTCTACCACTCTGCAAGTGCCTTCATCATCACAAAGACTATCAACATTAAGAGTCTAAGTCTTCTTGTGAGATAAAAGTAAAATTCCACAGATAATCAATGCCCAGTCCACCTCTGTAAGAAGATGGATGGCCAACTATTTACACAGGAATACCAGTTAGGATTCAGACTTTTCTTAAGAGGACATCAAACCCAAAATTGATGGACTGTCACATCAAATGATTTTGTCCTAAGTCATCAGAGAATTATTAGTTCTCCTGAGATTGTTGCTTAAGAATAACCTCAAATTCTTGGCTAGTAAACCTGAAATGAATCAAAATATACTCAAGATTGCCTGAAAGATACGATCCATTCAGCCTTCTCCACAAACCAAACTTCCTATTTATATGAAACCCTATTATCAGAGAGCTATGCACCACTGTGGGAATTGTGGGATGACATCAAGAGCATCAACCATGAAGAAAGCAAGAGGTCACTAAAAAGACAATAAAAAAAGAGAAGACCAAAATGGATGACAGAAGAGACTCTGAAGCTTACCCTTGAGCAGAGAGTATCTAAAGCAAATGGAAGAAATGACAAGATAAAAGAATTGAACCAAAGATTTCAAAGAGCAGCTCGAGAAGACAAAGCCAATTACAATAATGAAATGTGCAAAGACCTGGAGGTAGAAAACCAAAAGGGAAGAACATGCTTGTCATTTCTAAGCTGAAAGAATTCAAGAAAAAATTTAAGCCTCGAGTTGCAATATTGAAAGATTCTAATGGGAGCTCTGGTAGCATAGTGGCTAAGACACTTGCCTGCTAACCAGACGGCTGGCGGTTCAAACCCACCAGCCACTCCTCGGTAGGAAGGTTGGGCAATCCTACTTCCATAGTGATACTGCCTCAGAAACCCAAGGAGGGGTCGCTATGAGTCGGGCAGACTCGATGGCACATAACAACAACAACAACATGGGCAAAATATTTAATGATGTAGGAAACATCAAAAGAAGATGAAAACAATACACAGAGTCACTGTACCTGACTCTGTGTCAATCTTCATCCATTTCAGGAGGTGGCATATGATCTAGAACTAATGGTAATGAAGGAGGAAGTTGAAACTGCAGTGAAGGAATTGGCAAAGAACAAGGCTCTGGAAATTGATGGGATACTCATTGAGACATTTCAACAAATGGATGCCGCACTGAAGGCACTCACTCGGTTATGCCAAGAGATTTGGAAGACAGCTACTTGGCCAACTGACTGGAAGAGATCCATATTTGTACCCATTCCAAAGAAAGGTGATCTCACAAAATACGGAAATAATCGATCATTAATATTGTATGCAAGTAAGATCTTACTGAAAATAATTCAAAAACGGATGCAGCAGTATATTGACAGAGAACTTCCAGAGGTGCAAGCTGGATTCAGAAGAGGATGTGGAACAAGGGAGATCATAGCTGCTGTCAGATGGATCTTGGCTCAAGGCAAAGAATACCAGAAAGATGTTTACTTGTGTTTTCTTGACTATGCAAAGGCATCGGACTATGTGGATCATAACAAATTATGGATAACATTAGGAAGAATGGGAATTCTTGAACACTTGATTGTACTCATGGGGAACCAGTACATTGACCAGGAGGCTGTCATTTGAATGGAACAAAGGGACACTACATGGTTTAAAATCAGAAAGGGAGTGTGTCAAGGTTGCATCCTTTCCCCATACTTATTCAATCTATATGCTGAGCAAATAATCCAAGAAGTTGGACTATATGAAGAAAAACGTGGCATCAGGATTGGAAGAAGAATCATTAACAACCTGAGATATGCAGACAATACAACTTTGATTACTGAAAATGAAGATGACTTGAGGCACTTACTGATGAAGACTGAAGAATACAGTCTGCAATATGGGTTACATCTCAATATAAAGAAAATAAAAATCCTCACACTCGACCAATGAGCAGCATCACAATAAATGGAGAAAAGACTGAGGTTTTCAAAGAATTCACAATGCTTGATACTACAATCGACACCAATGGAAGCAGCAGTCAGGACATTAGACGATGTGTAGCACTGGGCAGGTCGGCTTTGAAGGAACTCTTTCGAGTGCTGAGGAGCAAGGATGTCTCCTTCAGGACTAAGGTGCACCTGACACAAGCCATGATATTTCCAATTGCCTTGTATGCATGCGAGAGCTGGACAATGAATAGGGAAGACCAAAGAAGAGTTGATGCTTTTGAGTTGTGGTGCTGGCGAAGAATGCTGAGAGTACCATGGACTGCTAAAAGAACTAATAGATCTGTCCTGGAGAAGTGCAGCCGAAATGCTCCTTGGAAGCAAGAATAGCCAGACTTCGTCTCACCTACTTTGATCATGTTGTCAGAAGGGACCATTCCCTGGAGAAGGATGTCATGGTTGGTAGGGTGGAAGGTTGACAAAAGAGGGGGAGGCCTTCAACGAGATGAATTGACACAGTGGCTGCGATGATGGGCTCAAGTATAGCAAGGATCACAGAGCTGGCACGGGATCGGGCAATGTTTCGTTCTGCTGTGCATGGGGTTGATATGAGTTGGAAATGACTCGATGGCCCTTAACAACAACAACATGCACCACTCCATCCTGAGCTCACATATAAGGATGATATTTAAAACATTACCATTTAAGTCTTCAAAGAATTTTGTCTATCACAGCTCATGGGGCCCATCAAAGGGCTCCATAGAGAATACGACAAGCTTCATCATCAAATAAAGCTATATTTGTGGTAGTATCTATTTTTTTTAACCTTTAGATATTGTTAATCTCATAACTGATCACATTTCGTCTTTGATACTAGTTAACAGAATCACAATTTTAGTCCCAACACCATCACCAACTGTTTCAAGGTGTGCACTGTTAAGTAGCCCAAGTTTCATTAGATTACCTTGTCTTTATCCCTTTTCCTCAATGAATCATTTTTATTTTGCATTTGCTTTAAATATTTTTTATAAAGATCTAAAACCCTTTTTAAAAATGATGCTGGGAATGAGAAAAATACAAAAACTCTTTGTCTTTGTATCCCCAGTATCTGGAATAGGGTCTAAAATGTTGTCAATAATATTTGCTGAATGGAAAGAATGACAATCATGTCGAAAGTCATTATCTTAAACAGATCACCTTAATTTACCCAAAAACATGTCCCTAAATAGTTGGTACGTTTCAAAACTTCTCAAACAAAATTTAAAAGCATTGGAAGAGATTGTTACTTAAACGAATACGGTAATGGCTGCTTTTTTAACATAAAAATCTACAAAGATAGTTACTCTCTAACTTGTTTATAAATTTAGATAGTCACAGAGTTTTACTTAAAAAAAGGAATATATATGTATATATACAAATAAATTTACCACTATTAAATCAATTGTTGGGAGCTCTGGTAGCATAGTGCCTAAGGCACTTGACTGCTAACCAGAAGGCTGATGGTTCAAACCCACCAGCCACTCCTCGGAAGGAAAACGGGGCAATCTACTTCCATAGTGATACTGCCTTAGAAACCCAAGGAGGGGTCGCTATGAGTCGGGTCCGACTCAACGGCACATAACAACAACAATAACAATAACAAATCAATTGTTATAACATGTCAAATTCCATGGGAAGGAAAAATAGTGAAATTATCTTACTGTGAACTTAACGCCTAGTTGTGATTGAATTCCAAGTTGCTTAATTTCTAGTTTAGCCAACATACAAGATAATCGAGTAGGTGCAAATAATACACAGATGTCAATGTCTTCTTTTGGATGAATTCTGATCTCACAATTACTGGTCAATCGCTCCTCTGAACCAAAAATGTTCTGAAGCTACAATTTAAAAACAATCATTGCATAAAACAAAGCAGTAGCATAAATAAAACATACCATTAACATAAGCTTTCAAAAGATAAATAACACAAAATTATCATCACAGGAAAGTTTTCTGGACCCAGTAAAAACATATAACAAAACCAACACATGCACTCTACAAACCTGAAAGCAATCCTGATCTTGGCCTCTAATAACCAGTCGTAAATGTTGAGCTGTAGATGTAGAATTATTTCTTAGAGCGAGTTTCTGAAGCCTAAAAACAATCACACATTTTAATAAGAACATAATTTTCCTCTATGGATATTGCTACAATTATAAAAACAAATAAATAACTGCAATATTTAAAACCAGAATGAAGGCATGTACCACCTTAATAGCCTGGAACTGTGTCTCCATAGCTTCACAACTCTACATTTCTGAAAACAAAAATTCAAGGCTCACTTTTATTGGAGAGGTCTTTAGGTTTGATTCCTCTTTTGCTGCTCTTCTTACTTGCATGGTAATGTACCAAAAAACCAAACCAAACCCATGGCCATCAAGACACTTACAACTCATAGTGACCCTACAGGATGGAGTAGAACTACCCTACAGGGTTTCCAAGGCTGTAATCTTTACAAAAGTAGACTGCTTCATCTTTCTCCTGTGGAGTGGCTGGTGGTTTTGAACTCCTGACCTTTCGATTAGCAGCACAGTGCTTTGATCACTGTACCACCAGTGCTCCAGATAATGTGCCACAAAAAAAATCCTCATACTCACTGCCATCAAGTCAATTTGACTCATAGCAACCCTTCCTCAGGTTTCTGAGGCAGTATCTCTATGGTCTTCCTTCTGAGGAGTGGCCGGTGGGTTTGAACTGCCAGGCTTCAGGTTAGCAGTCAAATGCCTTAGTTACTGTGCTACCAGAGATAACGTAAAGATAATATTACTTGTCTTATAAAACACCAATCAATAAAAATCTAAGTTAAGAATTTAATTATGTCATAAAGTCACTATCACACCTAGTTTGAATACTTACCTCTACCTAGCTTTCATGGACATAAGGGGTCTAGGATATTGCTCAGATTTTTCACTCTAACAGCCACAAGTAGACTGGATAGATAGATGAATAGCAGTTAGCTGGTAGTAAGAAAATTCTTTTAAATTTTTCAAAAGATACAAATGTCTCTTCACTGAACAATAATAGAGAATATATGAGTAAATCCCAAGCAGTTAATAAATTATCTAAGTTCTGGTCTATGCCTTGTCCATATTGTCTCAAAAGGGAAGGGCTGTTAAGTTACAACTCAGAATAAAATCTAATACCTCCTGATATTAGCATAGCTGGGGAAAACCTTTCACAAGTACACTGACTATGAGGAAGATTTACCTAAAACAATTCTTAAAGTTTTAAGTTTATTTTTAAAGAAACATGTTTCTCATTTTCAAGTAGTACAGTTACCAAGTTGGGGTCCTAAGAATAAGATCCTAATAAAGAAATAGCCAAAGTACTTAAGCAGGTTTCTTACAGAGAAAGGAGATCTGCTGTTATAGTGGCTAAGACATTTGGCTGCCAACCAGAAGATTGGCAGCTCTAAACCCACTAGCTCCTTCACTAGAGGAAGATGAAGCAATCTACTTCTGTAAAGATTTACAGCATTGGAAACCTAATGGGTATCATTATGAGTTGGCGTCAAATCAATGGCAGTGGGTTTTTTTTCTCTGGTGGTGTAGTGCCTAAGTTATTTGACTGCTAACCAGAAGGCTGGAGGCTCAAACTCGCTAGCCACTCTTCAGAATGAAGGTCGGGCAATCTACTTCTGCAATGATACCTCCTCAGAAAATGAAGGAGGGTCACTATGAGTCAGGATCGACTCGTTGGCAGTGAGTTTTGCTTTTTTTTTTTTAAATAGAGAAATCAGAATGAGAGGTTCCGGCAAGATGGCAGACTAGGCAGAAAGATTGCACAGACCCTCTTCAACAAAGAAAAGGGAAACCTATTAACACAGACACAGAAGATAATCTTGGACCCCTGAGCCTTGAAATATACAGAAGTGGACTAAATCCCAACTAGCAGAAGAATTTGTGTGAAAATACCAAAAAAGGAGACATACGGAGCTGTGGTCTGGCAGCGATTCTGATGGCACAGAAAGCTTAGAGATTCCTCAGTGGTGCTAAGACCTAAGAATTAACCAAAAAATCAGCCCTGCTAGCCAGGGAATGCATGAAGGACTGTGTGCAGTGACTGGGGAATAAACAGAGAAGGTGAAGAGAAAGGTGGGCTGAGCTGTGGACTTTTGCCAGTCCGGAGGGTTATGCCATTTTGAAGCTTTGAAAGCAGCTTGACTATTTTGGATATTTAAAGACACAGCGCTCTAGCAGATTCCTGGGGCTTAAGAATACGTTCTCCTTTCTAGAAACCCCAAAGACACTCGAGACCGGCAAGACTGAAAAGGTACGACATTCCTTTTGCTACTCTTATACCCCACACGTTTGGTGAACGGAGGTGCGGCCATTCCCCACTTGCACTTACCTTCTGGGCCCACAGGAAATCCATCACAGTCTGTGTACGCAGACGGAGCCTGGGTGCCCTGCCCTGTCCTCCACTGATTCTTTTTTTTTCCTTCTCTTTTTTTATTTTTTTCTTTTTCACTTTCTTTTTCCCGGTGATTAGTTTGCTTTTATTTCTCTGTTTCAAACCAACTAATATTATTAATAATTTTGACCTTTTTATTATTATTCTTAATCTTTCCCTACCAGGT